ATTTGCGTGACCATCAAAGAAATACTGTCGATAGAACAGTTTTTATATCTAGAAAAGTATGTGTAAACGATTGATAAATTTTTTCGTTTTGTTATAAGAACCATAGTATTGAAAAATTGTCTTTTTCATATCGACTTATATATCTATCAATTTGTACTGTAATTCAACTAAAAAAAAGGTAACTACTAGAGAGCGTTTTTATTTTCTTGCTTGGACACGCTTTACTGTTCCAGTATAGATTTCATATATTCTCAATTTTAATTTTGTATTTCGAGTTATAGTGAAATGTTTTCAAAAGGTAAATATATCTGTCTTCTAAATTTTCCTTAGCTTTATATTTTTGTATACGAATGCAATCACAGTCTATCAGTTTTCGTTTAAAAATGTAGTTAATATTAATTCTAGCAATTAACGCTACAATCGTTTATATAAAATATTTGTTAATGTTTTAGTTGATTTCTAAAGCCAAACACTTAGCCTTCCTTATCATTCATCAATAGCTGGAAAACCTTTCAATTAATTTTACTAACTAATAATTCATATATGTGCGGCAAAGTATTTTTGTGTTTGTTTATGCGAATAATCATCATACATGTGTTATCTTTCTTTTTCTTTTGTTATTGATAGAAGAATGTTGCTCTGGCAGATGGATGTTGCCATCAACCCGCTCATTTTCGTCATCGCAACATGTATTTGATCAGAGTTGATCATTTACCTCTTGGTAAATTGTAATAAGCAATTTTTCTCGGCAGTATGCAGAGCACGACATCTGCTTTGTCTTTACACATATCATGTACGAAAGACAGAAAGCAAAAATACAATGTGTAGGCACATAAAAAATGACGCGCCTTAGGCACTGCCGAGAAAAGTTGCTTATTACAACTTACCAAGAGGTAAATGATCAACTTTGATCAAATACTTGTTGCGATGACGAAAAAGAGCGGGTTGATGCCAACATAGACCTGCCAGAGCAACATTTTGTATAAAACAAATCCATACTGATATGTTTTTAAGATGTAAGCTACTTTGTCCGTTACATTTTGTTGAGCAGATCATTTCTAGCAGCGAACTGTTACTCTATCATATGTTCGTGTCACTGTATTAATCTTAGGATACGACTGTAGTGAAATCTAAAGTTATATGACCCATTGTTTCTTTCATCAAATATGATAATTATGTATATTTCATCAGTTATTACTCAATGAAATGAAAACTTTCTATTGGTGGATAAATTGCACGATGAAAATAAAACATATTGTCATTCATGTGTTCGAAGATAAAATGGTTCTCGGTATGGTTTGTTTAGTAGATAATTAAAATAAACAATATCCATGGGCTGCATATGACTGACGTGAATCAGAAGAATTCATTCAGAATAGATAAGCATTTCGAGACTGAATCTATTGATGCTTACCGAACAAAGAGAGCTCTGACTGTTTTATAAAACAGTTCTCTCATGATCCTGCACTTTTGTTTTGAAAAAAGATAAGATAAAACTCAGCTACAAAAATAGAAGTGAACTAGGCAATTTTATTGTGCTTTGATGAAGATATTTCTTATCTATTCCTAAAGTATGTTATATTTCGCAAGAAATTATGAAAGTGAACGAATATTATTCTAGATCTATCGTGACGATCGATAGAATTTCATATGTTTGAAAGAAAAGACTGCTGAAAACCGATTTTCTATCGAATAAAAGTATATTTTTTTCATGACGGAAAGTAATAAAACGCTGATAATATAACTCAATTGATCTTCAAATGATAAAAGAAATATTTTTGTAGAATATTTAATAAAGTCATCAAAGGAATTTATTAGTTTGAAAATAGGAGAAATTCGAAAAAAATGTCTAAACTTTCCATCATAGAAACAGATACGAAAAGTATGCTGAGATCCAGACAGTTACGGTTGTGACATGTACAAATCTTCAAATAAAAAACAGTCATTTATAAAAAGAATGAGCCATTCTAATATAATTGTTATTCAGTGCTTTTGAGCTCTACTTTGAGAAGAGCTTGTGAATAACCATCTAAAATTCATTCGCAGCTCTTTGATACTATTTGGTGTTGATTTTGATTTTCAGAATTTGAAAAATGTATATGGTTCAAATATTTTCTGTGAGTGTTATTCCAGTGTCATTTCATAAAGATATTTTTGCTCATTTTGCGCCGCGTGAAAAAAAAATGTGAAAATAAAGTCGACCTCTATTTCAGCAATGGCTCTTTTTTGAAAAGAAGCTAAGAATTTGATCTTAAATTCTCTCCAACTATTCACGAAAAATTCTCTCTGTTCTTTGTTTATTCTGTTAATTGATTTGAAAGTTAAGACTCGATATACAGAGAAGCTATGAATGATAAAGATTATGAGCACTGTTGAGAATAATAGTGAGTAATTGTTTACAACTAGTTGCTTTTTAGTCAAAAAATTATAATTTTAGTTAAATATGAGCATAGGATCTTGTATAAACGAAAAACACTTAAAAAATAGATGAAACATGGTTGTAAAGAAAAACTGAAGCAAAGATGAAAATTAAAATATGCTTCATAAAAAAAAGCCATGACAAATATGCCACATATTATCCTTTAATTAAACATAATATTTATCTTGAATTGTTTACCCTTTAACATAGTTTCAGAGATTTCATGCTTGTCATGAAAGTCACTTCATCCAGTGGTTTTCTTATACTTGTTTTTTATCAATAAACTCAAATGATTAATACAGAGGAATTGCATTGTAATATCTACTCACACATGCTAAAAAATACCCAAATATCCATAAAATTTTCTATCTAAATGCACAGAAAACTGTCAAAACAATCACATCGATTGATTTTCGATTCATGTTTTTTGTGTATTTACAGATCAACAATTATAGTGCCTCACTGCTATAAGCTTTATTTGAACCGATCAAGTTCTCTCCTCTACATTGTTTGTCTAAGCAGGTACGTGTGTGTGTGCTTGCGGATGCTGTCTTTAGTGGTGCCTGCAAACACCCACACCCGTACCCTTATTGGCTTTTACTTGCTTTATTAGAATTTAATACATCAGATCGTATACCAAAATTATTTCTTCAATTAGATGAAAATAGACAAATGAATTTAGATGTATCTGAACTTGAGAGATTAAATACAAGTCGTTTACATATATTTTCACGTGTAATTGAAAGAAATAAGTCAGGTAATATGAATAAACAAAGAAAACTATCTCAATGTATTAACAATAAACCAGTAAAACCATCCGAACCATTAATAATGAACTCAACATCACAAACGTAAGAGATGTTCTTTTTAAAATGTATTGGTATTCATATATGTTTGTTTGATTTTAGAAATATCATGAGATATCAAAATCCTTCTATATGAAGTGAAGATGATAGTGTCATTGACAATGTTATGGTGGATAGTAGTGAAACATCATCACGTTTCTCTGGAACTTTTTTTTTTCATTACAAAACCCGATATTTATTCCATCATTATTTGGTTCATTTGGTGTTTTGTGTGTGTTTATTATTTTATGTCGAAAACAACTTTATCGATTGTTAATATTCATTATCTATGGAAATGGATTTTATGATCGTAAATCAAATAGTTCAAGATTAAAACAAATCTCTAAACATCGACAATATCATTACATGTCAACACTGAATAAGCCATAGATAAGACAGTGATTGTTCTTTTCTGTTTTCTTTTCGTTCTTGTTTTTATAATTTTTCTTGAGAATATATTTATTTGTTTTACCCATAGAATCTAGTTATTGATTCAGAGTATTATCTTCGACAATAAATTACGTTTTTGTAATATTGGAAAACTTATTATTTATTTTAACTTCTATAAAAACTAGATATCTTTCTAATTGAGTGCAATGGAATAAATGAAGATAAAACATTTGATTGCCATTCGTTGTTCATTGCTGTCAACATTAATGTGTTTTCGGATGTTGGTTTACAGAAGATTTACATACTGAAAATCTTTCGTAGCATCTTGTTTTTATGAATCACTTTCTTCCGATTATATTAACAATATTATTCATCTTTTTGTGAAACGATGTCTTGTAGTTTCTCTTTCATAAGGATTAATGTTATTCTTATTGTTCTTTGGACCTATTATTCCATAATCTTACGACTATAGTTGATTGCTTGTATGAATAAATAATCTGACTTTTAGTTTTATATTTTCTTCAATCTTACTGGTGCTAATTTAATTGAGTTCTTTTCACTGAATGAATGATCTGTTTCATGTGACTGTGATTCAAATTTTAAATGATATATATAAATATCTTTGATTATAAAAATCCAATTCAGAAAATGAATGTCAAATGAATTACGTATTTATCTAATAAAATCGTGTATTGGAATTAAAGTTCAAGAAGCTTCAATTACAAGATATGTACTAGCACTTCCATCAGATCCACAAATCTATGACAGAATCAATAATTTCAATCATTTATCTTTCGAATTCAATCAATTTTACAATAGATGATAGATGATTATTAAATATGGTCGACATTTATCATAACTAGACATAATATACTCAAACCATTTGAGTCGTTTTTACCTAAATGAAGAAAAATGCTCTTCTCTATTAAATTATGAAAAACAACATTTCTTCATCCATAACGATTAAAATACTCAAATCTAATGAATTCAAATTTGAATTCAAATTTGGTGGGTGGTTCCATCTCCTTTGAAATCGTTTATTTATCCACACAGTTCATTTTATAATTCTGTATGTGGTCGTCAAATGTGGACCTCTTTTTATATTAATAGCGCACTAATTCATTGATATAGTTCATAACAAGCCTATAATACCCTCGCAATGGGAATGGACTAGACTCTTTCTATGAAGCTTGACGTAGAGTAAATAAATGAATTATCTATACGTTTATTTCGGTATTAAAATAAAATACTCAGAGCACCGATCAATAAGAGTTCTCGAACTTGCGTTATGACAGCTTTTGAGTAAAGCATGACATATGGTACCCTTCATTGGTTTATCCGGAACACTAGCAACATGCACTACGTGCATTAGGAGGAAGAACCTCAACATTAGCAGCGTCATGAACAGAAGATAGATGAACATCAGCCGTGGAAGAGGCATGATCAGAAGGTATATGAGGCTCAAGAGTAGCAGTATCGTCAATAGAACGTATATGAGCATCAGCAGTTACAGAGTCATTAATAGCAGAATTACGAGCAATCTCAGCACGATATTCGGCAAGCATACCTGCTAAACGAGCGCTTGCACGAACCCTCTGAAGAGCAATTGTATATTCGGCAGCAGCATCAGCACAATAATCGGTAGAAGCATTTTCATCGGCAAGAACATCATGAAAACGATCGCGAGCATCGTCAGTATCAACAATAGCAGCGCAAAAATCTACATAACGGCCATCAGAAAAATCGTGGAAAGCAGCATGAAGAGCAACATCATTATTAATATGAATATAACGAAAAATGTGAAGAAAAGATCACGGATGTGGGTGGCAGTGTAAAAGACTAAACATCCACACCCACCGACACCCACACCCAAAACACTGGCAACTTTCTTTTGAATTAATTGCATTTAAACATTTTAATAATCTGAACAATAATACTCAAACAAAACTTATTACGAAGTTTTGTTGTTGGTCAACCAGTAATATTTAAAAGAGATTCGTCTGTGAAAAAATAGTGTCATCATGAAAAGTCAAATAAAGTTGATATAGTGTAGAATTTTTAAAACCATTTAATATATTTCAACTAGATAGTTACAGAAAAAAAAAGTCATTT